AAACCAACAACCAAAAAAGAGGTCCACCTCCTAAATAATTAAATTCAAATCTGTATCCAGTGCCAATACTTGTTGCATCCATTTTAGAGTTGATTAATGACCCTGGAACTTGGGCAAACTAAACTCCATGTGGAGAGAACGTTTCTTCCTTCAATTTAGTTCTGAAAGCTACAAGTTATTGATGGATTTCGCTCAATTTACATACAAATTGGTGCAAATCTGCTCATCTCTTAAAGTGCGTTTTTGTATAAATATATAAAAGTGTCATTTTTGATTTAGCTTGAAGAGGTTGATCATTTATTACAAAAATAAACGAATAAATACAACCATATATTGTTGCTTCCAACAGGATAAATACTTTACAAATATATAATTTAAAAAACAAATTTAATTGTTAAAATTATTTAAAATATTACACTTATCAATAAAACTATCAATAGTATAGACTGCATTTAATAGTAGAACCAATTATTCTCCGAATGTTGAAAACCATTCATACAAAACAGATTATGAGCATGGTAATGAGCAAACACTGGAGGCTACAGGGAAGCGGAGGGAATCTCTAAGATCAATAATGAACAGTTCTATTTTGGAACAAAGAAGGAGTCCTTGGCTAGTACTAAAAAAAAAAAAAAAAAAAAAAGAAAAGGCAGAGCAACAACAGCGAAGTGAATACTTTAAATACACCTTGAGTGATTTATCGCACAGACTTGCCAGGGAAGGTGGCTGGGTGAATGAGGCTTGGACAACTGATCAAGAGCTACAGGAGACTGTAAACTGCATATGGGCCTGGCTTGGGAGTAGCCAGGCTGATGGAACAGAACTTTGTCACTTTCCTTTGGGCTGGAAGGGGAGGAGGGGATGGAGTGAAATGGAGGAAACAAATGGGCGCTTTACGAAGCACAAGACACTTGCGCTGCAAAGGAACACAATGGCCAAATTCATTAAAAAGATCTGGTGATGTATAACAATATTTTCATTATTTACATGTGTAACAACATGAGCCTTAGCACAAAACCCCTCAGTGATATCTGCCCTCTTTTGTTTTTCAACCATGAATTTAATTTTGCAATTACATTCAAAGGGTTGATTTTAAAAATGGAGTGCAAGCATTAGCTCACTTTGTAAGATGCAAAATAATGGAAAAGCAAACAAACAAACAAAAAACCAACGGGCTGGCTTTCCCAGCTTCTCCAATTAAAAGTTACTCGGCTACCCCCAAATCAGGGCTTCTCAGGGCTTCTTCCAAAGTAATCAGCAAAGTTTACTTTTCAATAGAAAACAGTGTGAAATCTAATGTTAGCTCTTTTGTTGTCAGCTACATCAAGTAAGTAGATACCTCCTAAAATTTTAAATAGACCCATCCCTTGTCTAATCAACTACCACCGTTCCTATAGAAAAAACAGGATTCCATCTCACGTGCCAGTAATATCCACCACGTAAAAACAACCTGGTCAGTTCTCAGCCTTTCAATGAGGACTTTTTTTTTTTTTTTTTGCCTGTTCCTGTAGACCCTCAAAAAAAAAAAAAAAAAAAAGATGAACTTCACCCCCACCCCCAACTCCAAGTTGTAAATTGACTGGGCAGAGCAATTACAATAGCAAGAGAAATAGGAAACATGGAGGCAAAGAAAAGTAAATTGTGGTTTCTTGTCTTCATTTTTTCCCTCCTCTCTTGTTTAATAAATATGGCCTTTTTCAGATTTCACAAATCAAAATGATTGTGATTTTTAGTACGGTTTGGTGTTTAAAATAATGCAACCCAATACACAGCCATCTGGCTGGGCTTGATTTATGAAAGTGACACAGGGCCTGTCCGGGAGAAATAACTGTTCCTTGTTGCTCTCACAGTTTTCTGGGTTTTTTTAACCCCTGCATCAGTATCACAGGGAGAGGGAATGAGCACGAGAGAAGAAGGAACAAAGTGAGTAAGTGACAGCTACGTGAGGTGGAGGGATTTGTCTATAAAATCGCTGCTTTATCACCCCTGAACACTTTTAAAAAGTACAATACGTAGGGGCTCAACTAAGCAGAGCCTTTCGCCTTCTTAGTACTCACGACCTGAGGCATCACACTTTCATTTTTCCACATTGTAAATATCAGGACATTAACTTGACAAATGTGACCACTTTGCAGGGTTTATCTCAAAAGTGACCTAAGAAGCAATAACCCCCAGCACCAGCAAAGAAGATCTAGAATTATACTGGGGAAGGGCCGAAACACAGAAATGCAGAACCTGAAGTCTGGGCTGGTAATTGCACAGATGGTATGCAGTGTGGACCATAGTCATGATTTGCAAAAACTATGCTCTTTTACTGTGGGGGGGGGGGGGGACAAAAAAACAACAAAAAGCTTAATAATTTAAGTTTAATGACATATGGTTATTCATGGGAATAAATTGATATCAAAATATTTTATAGACTTACAAGTTACTCTTAACTATCAGTCTTCAGAAAAAGAGAAAGGAGACACAGGAATACGTTGGGAGGTGGGGAAGGAGAAGAAAAAGAGAGGCTGAGCTTAGGGGAGGGGTTGTCTTAACTATTAATAACCAGTTGGCTCGTTTTTTTTTTGTTTTTTTTTTTTAACTGGTGATGGAGTTCAATCTTCCAATAAAGAGCACAGGTACCTCCAAGAAAAGGGCTAGTATTTAGACAATCTCACCTAAAAACGCTAAGGACACCCACTAAAATCAAGGGAGAGGAAAATATCGTGAACTTTATGGATTAACAGGGAGTGACTACCATGTTAAAACACTAGCTGTTCCAGAAACGCCTGCCCTTTCTCTTGAGGCTGGATTTCCGAATCTGCATCAACTGAGCAGGCCCTACGTCCTTAATGCTATTACTTAAGGGTTTTCATTAGTAAAAAAATATTTCCTAAAGAACTCTTTTCTTCCCACACAGTGTTTACGCATCAGACACAGACTATTTCATTCTAACAAATTTATTTTCTCGATCAGCTCTTACGGAATCACTACTCAAATTAAATTACAATCAAATGATCACATCAAAAGATACCCTTATTACCTAACAACTGTCCATATTTTCATTTCATTTTGATTTGTGCTCGTCTGAAAAAAACACGTAATACAAGATCTGGGGAAAAATAAATTACCGTTTTGCAGCAGTTCATAAGTATTCTGAATAAAATATTAAAAGAAGTCATTTAATGAAAATATAAAGCAAATATTTTTAGATCGACAACGGATCTAGCAATTCTATATTGCCGTCTTTTGAAAAGTCTGTTTATTAAAACCTACCAAAAACACTGCTTGGAAATGGCAGCATTATATAATCACATCCACGGCACCCATTCGATCAAGGTTGGCAACGGATTGAGGACAGGAGTCCGGAGAAGCGCAGCGCTGGTGCTCAGTCTTTCTAAATTCCTTTATCTGAGTCAGTCCAGAAATTGAAAAATAAAAATATGGATAAAAAAAATACGAGCGGCGGCCTCTGCGGGCGTCGTCCGCCCCGAGCGGCCTCCGGCAGAGCCTGGGCC